GAAAAAAGCTCTTCTGTTCTATTATCTTTGAAAACAGAGACGAAAAAGGAATAATTTGGCCCGTAGAGCAGCAATGAATCGACTATCTACGGAGATAATATCACCAGAGATATTCACGGAAATATTAATGTTCGGAGCCGAGATTTAATTACTGTACCCCGCAGGGACGACGTGTGGGGAGGCGTGTGAGAGGCGGAGAGACTATTAAAAGGTCACCGGCTTTGTAAAGCCTGGCTTAATTCGTTGAGAATGCGCTCTTAGGGAATGGAATTCAATTTATTGTCACTTTTAGATCTACTATGTAGAATAGACTCTCTAGCTAATTTTTACACATGTAAATCCTAGATTCTTTTTTGATAATAGCATAAAAAATGGTATATAAATAACGTTGCAGGAGTAATTTTTGACAAGAGATGAAACTTTTTTGGTCCCACTCAGTAGTGGATTGTTACTGCTGATCACGGTCGCATCTCATGGCTAGAATTTTCCAAGGGCACGTTTTTACTCGCGTTTGATCGGCATCAATTAATGTCGCGCGTTAGCGTGTATCTGTACAAACCACATGGCGCGTCAGCTCAGTTGTTAGTGGACGCAAGAGGTGAAGAAAAACATTAAATAAATAGTACAATACTAGTAGAAGTAGCAGTGGACTGCCATGCCTGCTCCGGGACAATTTCAGAAGTGCGGTTGGGGAGTGTTCGGCTTGGAAAGCTGGCAACCCTTGGATAAAACCGCTTCAAATTCGGCCCAAGTTCAGCAGAGTCGATGTTCCGATCCTTCGGGGCTCTCCGCCACGGCCGCTGAACCACACGCAGGAAGAGGAGATCACGAAGAGGAACCGGTGGATAGCAGTAGAGGTGGGGTAACGTTGTTAAATACCACAATGTAGAGTGTAATAAGGTGCATGAATGTAATCTCATCCTTGTTGCTTTTAACTTTTCTTAGGGGGTGATAGTGTTGATGAGCAAAACCTTTGCCTGATGTTATTAATTTTAGTATCTAAGTAAGAATAATTCCTTTTTTATCATCCTATCTAGAGACCGTGAAAAGCTCTTTCATAGTAGAGTATAATAATATGTTTTCCCTCAGAGCAACCAACAGGCAAGAAACTGCTGGCCAAGTACAGCTATAAGGCTGCTGAAGCCAGTCCTCTAGGAAAGCTAGAACTAAGCATCACTCAGGGAGAGCACCTGTTCCTGGTGGAGAAACATGGGACAGAGGAGCACTGGTGGCTGGTGAGGAATGGACAGGGTCAGACGGGATACGTGCCTGCTTCTTACATGATGGTGAGTCAAGTCTGATGTGTGGTGTATACTAGTAAGTATATGAAAAAGTCTGTCACACCTAACACACTCTTTTATAACATATTGTCACACCTAACACACTGTCACACTTGACACACTAGCACAATGTCTTTGCTGATGGCAAGTCACATGCAGATAAAACTGTCCTACACTTAGAAAAGCATTTGGTTCAGGATCTGGAAATATTCATTTTAAACTGTATAACTTTTAAAATAATCCTTCCCTGCAGGGATGTACCATTTGATAAAAGATATATTTGTTTGTTGACAGGTGCTGGATGATATGCCAACCTCGTTGCCATGGCTACAGAATAGGGCAGTTAAACAACCGACAACAGCTCCTGGTAATACAGAGGTTCATCAAAAAAGCAGTATGGTAGTTCACATAATGTGAAGTGAAGGAGTGAATAAACAGATAAATATATTAACAAATAGATACACTTGAATTAAAGCACTCAAAACCCAGGGAATACAGACCTCAGCCAAGACCAGTAATTATCTACCAAATGACCATTAATTACATGATGGATCATCACCATCTAGTCACTTTTAAGTAAGCACATTTCTGAAAATTTTTCAAAACCTGTGCATAAATTTTTGCATAATGTAACACTCGGACAAACTAAGGGAACCAAAAACAACTGGGGGTAATAAATGAAAAGATGAAGTTTTAATAAGAAACCATATCAGATTGATTATCATCCCTTGGTCAATCAGCACATATGAAATATAGAGAACTCCTGGAAATCTTAAAGATTTTATTTATCAAGTAAAACAAAATCTCCATCCTCTCTCTCTCTCAGGTCCCTACAAGCCATATGTGTCCGCCTATGCCAAGTCCAGTCCGGACTCCGCGAGCCAGGGAAGTGACCAGTACTACTGTAAGGTCTGTGATAAACAGTTAAATGGACCCAAACCTTACAGTGCGCACATGAACAGCAGGGACCACAGGGAAAATGTGGAGTACTATGGAGAAGATGGACCTGGATACTGAATGTGGTTTTAGTGGTTGTTTATATGTAACCAGTGAAAATGTGGAATACTATGGAAGAGGTAGAATTTTGTTCTAGTTTTTTTTTAAAGCAAAGTGCCAAAGCAGCAAGCCCACTGCTGAACTTGTGGGATACTAATACTATAGAGAAGATTGACTTAGATAACTAGTATTATTTAGTTTTTCTTTAAGCAAAGTGCCAATGCAGCAAACTCACTGCAGAAATGTGGAAAACTTCAGGAAATTACCTGGACACAAGACCCTGTTAATGTTGTTCTTAAACAAAAAAAAAAAAAAAAAAATTAGCATTGTTGTTGAAACAATAAAGTAGAGAACACTTGTTCTGGAAACTCTTTGATGATGTGTTGTTTGGATGGATAATTTGATATTTTTATAGTTTTGATATCACTGCAGATAAAGGGGATATACTTTAACATTTTCTTTTGAGTGAGAAATGTAAACTAATTTTTTTGTTGTTCATAAAAGAGAATAAAAATTGACACCCACATTTAATGATAAAGTGATTCACAAAACGAGCTGTGTTAATGTTGAAATCCCAAATAATTTCCTGTTATCAAACAATACCCCCCCCCCCCCAAAAAAAAAAATTTTTTTAAATGAAAGGTTCTACTTCATCCAGACTATTAACAATGTTTAGTGGGTTTTGAAGAAAAGACTGGACTGCAGAATATAAAATAAGAATTTCCTTCCTAGCTCGTTATTTATTACACAAGAAAAGTCCTTGCCTGTAGAATGTGTTGCTCTGTGCAAGTTTTTAAAGTGCACTGCACTTTGAATTGAGAATTGATTTTTCTTTGTCCAAATTGTAATGATTAGCACCTATAATCCTAGCAGTGACTATATATATATATATATATATATATATATATATTTTTAAAGTGTACTTTCTCAGATCTTCAAACGTTCCACATTCTCATCAGAAAAATTAATGAACAGTTTGGTACAGACAGCCGAGGAAAGATTCATGTGGTTGGGAGCCTTGGCCAGCTTTGACCACTGGTCAGTGGGGAGATCATACACCCAAATCTCGTCCTCTGCCGCACTGTAATGCTCTCTCCCTGAAATCAGACATGATAACGTAAACAATAGTTAATAAATAATGAAACTTGTACTGGAGAATTTTAAACGGCTGACTTACCAAGAAATGAAATTGTGTATGATCATTTTGAAGAATGTTATCGCCAAGCCTACACCAAATTTATAAAACGGTTAAAGAGCGGAACACACCCTCACACTGACACATTGAGGAATCAGAATTGTACACATATGATATGCACACAAAACTACTTGTATTAATTTAACTATTATCTTCAGGAGCAATTTAAAGAAAGTGCTTCACTTGCTGATTTTAGAAACCTTATTTTTTTGTCCAGTGATATGGATAAAGAAATTGTGTCAGCATACCTATGGAGTAGATCTTTCCTTCCATAGCTATGTAGTGACCTATAGATCGCCCAGAGAATGTGTGGGCAAGAAGTGTCCACTGCTCTGTCTGAATATCGTAACACTCGATAGGGGTCTGTCCAGTGTTTGAGACGCCATGACGGGTTATTCCGCCCAGAACAAAGATCTTCCTGTCGATAGCCACCATGTCATGCAGTCGTCGTGCATAGAAAATTCCAGGTTTGGATTCCCACGTGCGCGTCGTGAGATCAAAACTGGCGAATGTGTTGACGGGCTGTCTATCCGTGCTGGACACACCCCCTGAGATGTAGATTTTATCGTCAGTGACGGTGGCTGCATGGGAGTGGGTGGGCTCCAGAAGGGGGATCTCGTCTGTCCACATGTTGGTGTTGACATCATAACATTCCACAGAGTCCAGCACAAACAGATTCTCGCTGCCTCCTCCCAGCACGTACAACTTATGACCTATCGCAACCAGAGCAGAGTCTAACCTCAGCCTTTTCATTGGGGAGAGCTCCTGGACCTGCAAATGGCGGGGATCAAAGCGACACAAGGAGTTCATCAGTGTTCCTCCCCCAAAATCTACAATACGACAAATGTATATGAAGTTATCGATGACGGCCACTCGACAGTCGCAGCTACCACTGGTGTTACTGAACAACTTGTAGAACAGTCCACGCTCATGGTTGAACGCCGTCACCTGGAATGGGCGAAATGCTGAACCTTGGTGTATGACCACCAGACTCTTTTTCGTTGTACGAATTTCAGAACGTTCATTAATCACAGGCTGGCGACAACAGACATCGAGGCCATATTTGAGACCTTCGATGACGTACTGAGTGACCCTAGTGTTGGTCCGCATTAAGTAGTCCTCCCGCGCTTTTTGCAACTGAGGCTGCGTCATTAACGCAAAATGTATATGACTCATGATTTTCTCAGCGTGCTGAAAGCGTGCTTTATCATGGTGTAGCCATTGATTGACTAGCTCATACAGACGGAATTCCGATGATATCTTTAGTGCATCGCTCGAGATGTACTGTATCAGTTTCTTAGCATCAAGGTTGATGAAACTTTCAGTTTTACTGAATGCCTCAAAATTGTCCAGAATATGGACGTCAAAGTGCTCCGTGACTTTGTTCAGAGAATAGACGTCTGCTATCTGGAGAAGTTCATCCGCATTTTCAAAGTTCAACTTGGACTGGATGAAGTCGCAGCACAGATCTAATGCTCTGTTAACCTGGAATGAATAAAATATTGTTTCATTATTGTGACAAGGGTATATCCCCTGTATCTCTAAACCTGCTTGTCACCCTATTAGGATATAATTTAACAGGAATGATTTCCATTGAAGCTGCACTTTTCTGCAGATACTTCTATGGCACAAATTCTGATCATCTTTTGATTTCACTTACATAAAAAAGCTACCATGGTTCATGCTTTACCTGTAAATGACTGGCAGCATTCAAAACCTCGGTCAGATTGTCAAAGTTCAAAATTATTTCTCCACAGTACACGAAGTCTATGATCTGCTGGAGGGAGTCAGCTGTCATCCCCTTTAATTCCACAGAGTTCTCATTGCTCTCACGCATGTGACCAGTAAACATGACACGGAAGTAGTCACTGGCAGCCGCCAGGAGGGCCCGGTGAACCTGGACAAAGGATGAACAGTGTTATTTGGATTGCATTAGTGTAAAATAGTTGCTTTTATTTCTAACATTGTAGACACTATATATTGATTAATAAATATTTTCTAGTGCCATTAGCTTAAATGACTTCCGAGTTACAAACTATTCCCTTCTTATAAAAAAAGAAAAAACACACACACACACAAACACACACACAAAATTCAGCTTTTTCATAAATACCATTCTGTTGCTGATAAATTGTCAAAGTATTTTAAACGATAATAAATAAAGCTAGACAACCCCATTCCAGTTCCAAGACTGATGTACTAGTACATCTTCAATATCCACTGTGTCACCTTAAACTCTCGGTCCTCAGCACGTATTGTGAAATCACACAACTGTTCATCTTTCCTCAGCAGATTCAGACTTTGAATGGTGGCGTCCCCGTAGCCTGGGTCCCGTACTGCCAGATCGCTGTCCTGCTCCGCCATATTGGGATGACCTTCTCAAGATCAGCTATAACATCTGTTTTTTACTCTGTTGGGGGCCTTCATGACATCTGGGGCCTTCCACATATAGCAGTACGTAACGGTTTCTGAAAATAGTTAACTCAGTCAGTGTGTGAAAATTAGGCAACGTACTACGTATGTGTTTACAATCCACGAGTGCAACGTTGAGGGGCTGCGGCGAAGCTGAACCAAAACATTGAAAGGAAAGATTGTACCGTTAATTTCCGGGAGAGTTCAAAGTACTCCTTTTACGAATGCTACTCAGTGGTTGGCGTCTGTGCCTAAATACTCACTTTAAGTCAGCAAAACACCGGTCCTTGGAAGCTTCGTACAGCGACAACATTCTCTCTTCGCCATGGCCGGAAGTGAGGGGAAGTGAAGGGGGGGAGGGGGATTACCAGAATGCTTTGCGGCTTAGACAAACGAAATATTGTGGTAGAGAAGATCAAGAGACTTGGAGCGTTTTCAGGCGTAGCGAAATTTCGTTTAATTAAGATAATTATCGCCAAATGATAAAGTTAATGATAATTATAACAAGCTCGAATGCGAGAAAAATTCTGCACGAAAGAAAAATTTCTTTAATTAAAAGAAAATCAAAATTTCAAATGCTGAATAAACACTCACACAAAAAAGTTATTTTGAGTAATTATGAAATAACCATATTAGCTTAGGCAAATGTTTTAACCAAACATTGGTGGATAATGCACCCAACATTCATTACTCTTTATATACACTGAAGATTTTCCCACTCAAATACATATTTTTTAATCATTGAAAAACAACTTCATGTTTCCGAATTTTTTCGGTAGAATGTATAGAAGTGAAGGGGTTCTCTAGTAACAAGATTTTGCATTATGAAAAACAGCACAAATGAGAGCGCAGACACTGTACAACATTATAATTTATTACACAATAGTAAGTGACATATTTACAATACTGCACCGCCCTTCTTTATTGATCAGTCTCGATCTCACGTCCACAAATAGAACAAAACTTTAGCATGTACACAATAAACATATGCTCAACAGAGATAAGACAGATGTCAATCAAGGATTTTTGAGTTTTTTTGTGGGTACACCCGCTCACCCTTAGATGATAAACCTACATTTTACTAAGGAAAAATTATTTATGAAGCAACTGATAGCCACTTCCACTTGAAAAAAGTAATGTGTCATTATTCATGATTAACTTATAATTTAAGAAAGAGATTTTTCAAAACTGAATACATTTCAACATCACGAGGTCAAAGGAGCCTTTACTGGTAGTAAACAGTGTTGTCACTCCCAACGCAATCTGCCAGTGTCACATCTAACACATTAAGTTTGATCTAAAATCATTTGGAGATAACGAGGAGTGAAAGGACCACTATAATACATGGTACAGTGGGAGAATTGAAGGAGAACCTGTGTGAAAACATATCCATAAGGAACAACACTGATTACTTTATTTAGTGAATCATCCATACCTTTTGAATATTAACAATGCAACTTATGCAAGTATAATATCAGAGATAAGTTTTGGGAAATAACCAATATTTGTAGGTACATAAATAATGATGATAAACAACACAACAAGAGACTGAATATTTACTTGTTGTAAGTGTTAAATACTTCTTAATTCACTTGACTTAACCCATCTAGGCAAAGCCATTTTACAAGTTTTCAGATGTCACATTATCTGTAAATGTCATACTTGATACTACCATAAATGGTTATAACTAAGCTGGTCACAGGTGCACTGTACCAATGACACGTAATGTCACAGCTGCACTGTACCACTGGAACAAAATGTCACAACTGTGATGGACTACTACATAACTACATCTACAACAGAGTCAGATTCCCATCAAGCAACTAGCTTTTATTGCTTAAAATTAATGAACTTATAATCAGAAGTATGGCAACATATGATGATAGGATTCAAATGAATACCTGAAAACCTGAATGCAAAATAATTTACACTCAGACAAAGATGCAATTATATTTCAGTTTAAACTTCAGCAGGAGGCAAACACTAGGTTTTGGAACGCCCTCAAGCTGTCATAGATAGAAAGCAGGCTAATATATACATATCATACAAATTAATTTAATCATGCAAGTATAATGGACTTACCCAATGTATGAGGGTAATACTATGTGTCTGTGTTATCGGTAGAAGTGTTGAAATATTTTACAATTAATGCAGAAAAGTGCACTATAAACATGCTAAATCTTATCTGGACAGTCCATTTCCGTTGTTAGTAAATTGCTGAATACAACAAATCAGTCTCAGTCCTACAGCCATCATTCTTAGAAGGCCTTCAAAGGAAATATATTGCAACTACCTCCTCTCTTGTCAATATTGTTATTATAGACATATTCCAGTGGATATCATTTTACTTAGGCCAAACCCGCTTTTGACACGTTTTTCACACCCTTGGGGCAATATCTTAATTTTTTTTAAGCGTTTATCCATTCACATTACTGACTGAAGAAAGGTTTAATTACTGTACTTTTCAATAAGCAAGCAATCATTTCAAGAGTAGTTCTAATATTGATGACAAGAATCATATCACTGGCCTATATATCAAGAGACAAGTTTGTTATTTACAGAAAATAATCAAAGATATCCTGATAAATTAATATTTGATTATGGCATAAAATTACATGAAGTTGGTTAAGGGCAGCCTATATTGCCTTGGCTTTGGTTTAAGTTTGAAGAAAGCAGGCTAAGTCCACCATTTTGAAAGGAAAATGTTTATAATAGTATTGTTGAATACTGAACATAGTCAATTGAGGGCAGAAACCCCACTTACTCTGTACTGTAGATGGAGCTAGTTACCAAGACAGGCAGATGGCAATAATACCCAAGGTAAGATCTAAACTAAAGTCTTACAGTAAAGCTTATCTGTGCGTGGGAGTTTTAACAGCTATATCACAGACTCTCACCAATATTCAGAAGTGAAAGATATGTTGGCCTACTATCATATTGTGCCATTCACTGTTCTTCTAATACCATACATATCTATGGAAGTCATTGCCACATATATAAATATAACACAACGCGGCCTTTACAACAAGGACACAGTCTTCAAGACAACACAAGAGAACAGCACATGCTTTATATTTGTTATGGATAAATGTCTCTTTCAGTATTTTCCATGAACGTGTCAGCATCAAATGTGCAACAGCATTGTTTTCATTGTAACATCAGGGAATCCCATGGCAAAAAGCAGCTTCTGCAAACCTTGACAATGTGGCTGTGTAGAATGTGCCAATTTAAAATCCAACCAACATGCAACCAGTTTACATGTACTTTTTTATGGATTTTGATTTTTTATTCACTTTTGTTTCTGGACATTCATGAAGTGCCAGCCAATACTCTTCATTAGTGTGGGTACTCCTACCACAATCTTCCAGTGTTGTCACATCTAACACATTCCAATAGTGTTGTCACATTTAACACATTCAGTACAATACAGTCTAATACACTTGGGGCTAAAGCAACAAGAAGTAACAATAATCATCTGCTTGGTGGAACCTCCACCCTTGTCCTTCACTGTGATGCAATCAACAATCTATATCCCATTATTTTCCTCTTCTAACAGTATTACTGCGCCTTCAACAGAATCCAAACCACACAAGATACTTCAGGATACAACAACGAGTACGTTACGATGCTAATGTCGTTATTACTTCCAACAACACATTGAAGAAGACTTTCTGTTGGAGGCACATTTGGTCCAGGTTGTTGTATTTGCGTATTGAGTAACTGTTGAGCTGTTTCATCAGATCAAAAGCAGACATTCAGCAGTAAACGTGTGGTCAGACCTGGGGTCTGTGGAGCAATGGTTAGTCCAATACTGGCCGGCTAACTGAAGCCGAACACCTCCACAACCTTGCAGTGGAAATCTCCGTCTTCGCACAAAGGTTCATTTTCAAAGGTGTTACATCGTTCTGTCCGACCCTGGAAAAGATTTTCATCAAGCTGGATTCCCTCGCCGTCTCTGAAATGCGGAAAAGATAACGTGTTAATGCTACAAACATGCTGTGTTTTATTTCAACTGCATTGGGATTTCAATACTTGTGATACAGATAAACTTTACAGCTTGATATTGGTGGTCTAAACTGCCACATGAAGAAACAAACTTGGTGATAAGATGGGGCGGAGAGACACTCATTCTTCCCAATTGTTAGCATGATACCTTTATCCCTAACAAAGAACACAAAACATGCACAGTAACAATCCTTCTCCATTCCCCCTCTCCCCCATTCAACTGACTCCTCTTTCTATCCCCCCTCAACGACTCCTTTATCATTTCTTCTTTCTCTCCCACCCTACCTTACTGACCTCTCTCTCTCTCTCTCTCACACTCACATCATCAGCCAGTGCCCACCTCCTCTCTCTGACATAAACAGACAGGCAGTGTCCAACTCGCCCTCCTCCAATAGTATTAAGAATGTCTCTCTCTCTCTCTCTCTCACATACTCTACAGCCCCCCCTTCCCCCGGACACTCACCCTCCTCCAATAGTCAGCATGGTCCTGTCCCCTGCCTGGAACATATAGCCTGTATTAGAGATCTCCTCTGGCGGCTTCTTCAGCCCAACCCACTCAATCTTCTCTACCTCTGGTACAAGAGTGAACAGAAATGTCTCCCCCGTCCCAAAATATGTCAGTCTTTTCTCGTACTGTATTCTTTCTGACCAGTCGTTGGAGCAGTAGGCACCAAATACCTGAAGTAGAATGTGAATTAGAATTGTTATTTTACATTAGTGAAAAAAAATTAATATGAGGTCATAATTTTAGTAGTAAAAAAGAGAACTCCCCTCCGTATCCCTCATTTAAAAAAATATTTTATATAAAATCTAGCAACTACCTTTAAATTAACCATCCACTCAAAATAAAAAAGAAATAATAAAATAATTAATTAATTAGCAAATAAATAAATGTATCTTACTAATGGAGATAAAACTGTCATCTCTGAAAAAATTCAATTATAAAAGTGCTATAGGAGAAAAGAATTACCTTCAATATATCAAGTGTATAAATAAATTTAAAAAAAAATTAATAGAAAATTCCCACCTCATCTTTCTCTGTTTTAATGACCAGAATGACGGCTCCTTTGTTCTCTATCTTCTGGTACAGCGTGATGAGGCTGGTCCCATGTTCCTCAGTAGAAAACAACAGCTCCGGCTGGTACACAGTCATCCTGTATGGCAGCCATGACCAGATAGTCTGCAGCTGGAACAGTCAATATGAAGTCAAGAGTCAACAGAAGTAACAATAAAGTGGCCCAGGCCTGTAGCCAGGGGGGGGGGGGGGG